TCCGACAAGTTCGGAGGCTGTTTTTGACCACGGACCTGAACGACATCCTCTCTACTTGAGACATCTGGATTATGATTTAAGGTTACCTCTGTCTCCCTTTCTGAAGCAACTATTTGAGACATTAGGAGTCTCACCTGTGCAGATGAAACTGAACGTCATAACCATTACGGTGGCATTCATAGTTATATGCCATTGGCGATAAGACCTACTCTGAAGATCTTTTCTCATTTGGTGGCCGTGAAGGTAAATCAAAAGGAGCCCCATTACCACTTTCAAATGATAGGAAAGTTCAAATTGATCGTAGATCTTCCAGATTCGCATAAGGATTGGAATGAGAAGTTTGTATGGGTGATCGGAGATGATTAGAGATGTGTTACCCCGAATGGCCCGAGATAAGGAGAGATGCTCTTACCAGAAGAACGTTGTCCTCGAAAGAGAAAAGTCACATTGATTTAATCAAGGGATTCATAGGCTCTCGTCGTTTTGAGGATTTAGTTGATAGATCAGCCATGTGCATGGCTGGTGCGTCAGTTGTGCCAACGGGTTCTCAAGATATAGATAGGGCTATGGTCCTCACCACCGAATCAAGGGAGGCGACTATAGTGCCCATAGCTAGGCCAGTCGATCCCCAGCGGGATCCATCTATTAGGCCAGCTAAACGTCTTCGTGAAGATTTTTACTCTTTGGGGGCACAATCGGTCGATTCTGGAGGAGTTGCTTCTCTTGCTTATAGGAAGAGAAAAAGAGAGTCGGGAGGAATTCTTCAAGAGAGGGATGAAGAGAGGCAGGCTGATATCGTCCCATTAGACTACTCGAGAAAGACACCGATCTTGAGAAAATCATCTGGAGCCCCTTTAGAAGAGAGAGCTGAGAAAAGGATATAGATCAGGGAGCAGCAGATCAGGGAGAAGTCATCGGGTCATCATCAGGAGTCGACTCGGCGGGGAAAGGAGTCGGCTTATGAAGAGACGGGACCTTCTGTTGGTCCGAAATATCCTTTTTCCCATAAATTCTCCGACATAGAAGAGGGATAATTGGTTAAGATAAGAATGTGCCTTAATGGTCTTTCTTCATCGGGTGCCAAGTACGGGACAGAGCCCGCACCAGAGTTCCACTATGAAGCTGAACGTCATCTTGATGCTCGGGGGACCGTCCTTGGATCTCGCCGAACTCGGTCTAGGGTGGTTGAATAGTTCCTCCTCCCAGGCAACCATTCTTCCTAACGTGATTGGACTTCCCAAAGCTTTCTTTAAGGGTAGGCTCATTCTGACAATAATAGGGTGAGCCTAGAAATAAGGACGGAGTCTTCTGGCCTTGAGGATGAGGGTAAAGACAGCTTTCTCTATAAAAGAATAATTAAGTTCGCCTGCTCGGAGGATTCGGCTCCCATAATAGATGAGCTTTTGTGTATGTCCTTCCTCCCGACAAGGACAGAACTAACTACTTCAGAGAAGACAACTATGTATACAAACAAAGTCTCTCCTCTTATAGGTTGTCTCAGTAATGGCTTTGCACTCAAGTAAGTTTTAAGATCTTGAAATACTGCTTTGCATTCAGTCGTCCAGACTATACCCTTCTTCAAGCTTTTGCTTCATCTTAATATTTTAAAGAAAGGGAGGCTTCTCTTGACGGATTTGGACAAAAATCGACCTAGAGCTGCGACCCTCCCATTCAACCTCTGAATATCTCTTAAAGTATGCAGCTCAGGGAGTCGCTCTATGGCAGTAATTTTTTCAGGGTTGATCTCAATACCCCTTCGAGTAATCATGAATCTAAGAAATTTTCCTGATTGTACTCCGAAAGCACATTTAGTTGGATTGAGCTTCATTTGATATCGCCTTAGGGTTGAAAAGGTCTTGTCCAAATCTAAAATATGGGTAGATGCTTGTTTGGATTTTAC